AGCACAGGCAACTTGGTTGCTCTGAGGGAAATGGAGATTAGCAGTCCCATGGTAGGGGTGCCAGGTTTCAAGTGGCGGCCTATAGTGGCAAAATGTTGCCAAGCTCTGCTCTAGTATGAAATCACATCAAGTTCTGTTGATTTGAAAAGTTAGGTTATATGAATAATCTCTTCCTTTTTCGCTCTGCTGTGCCTACCAATACCTTATATCCTTGATGCCATTTATGCTCTTTGTTTGACAGATCATTTTGTGAAGGCTAAAGGCATTAAACATGTTAGCTTGCTCTGCATTATTCATCATGAGTTTCCTATTGCCCTTGAAGAAGATACCCATACTTTCCTTGGTCTTCCCTTGCCTTACTTCTAATGTATTTATATAAAGTTTGTTGTTTCCTTTTATGGCCCTTGTTAGGTGAATCTCAGTTATTGCCCTGGCCTTTCTGATTTTGTCCCTACAGGCTTATAATATACTCCTAAACTCATCCTTAGTAATATGACTACATTTGTACTTTTTGTATGACTCCTTCAATGTTTCATGTCATTGAAGAGCTTACCATTTAGGCAATGAAATCTCTTGTTCCATATCCCATCATTCCTTCTCATCAAGGTAGCAGTCTTCTGCCATTAATATAGTCTGTCTCTGGTAATCTCTTTACCAGTTCTTTGAATTTGTTGAATTCTGCTTTTCTGAAATCTAAATGTTTTTGTTTTGCTGTTCTCCTTTTTTCTTTCATTATGATCATTAACTCTATCGTTTCATGATCATTGTCACCAAAGTGCCTTCCACTTTCAGATTTTCAACCAATTCCTCTCTGTCAGCTAGAAGAAAATCAAGTAAAGCCTCTTGTTTGCACCAAAGTTACCCACTATACCAGAGGTTGCAACCCCTGGCATATGCCAGAGCACGGCATGTGAATCCATTTTGCTGCATGCTAGAGCTGGCCCCAGCTCTGGGTAGGCCCCTGCTGCTGGCCATGGAGCCTGGGCTGGTTGCAGCAAGTAGCAGGGAGGCTACAAGCTCTGCTGCAAGCAGCCTAGGCTCTGTGATGGGCGGAAGAGACATGCCCAGAGTCTGGGCTGCTCTCAGCACGCAACTACAAGCTGATGCACTGAGGTCCAGAGCCCTGGCCTGGTTTGTTGCTACTGCTGGCTGCATGTGCACTTTGGGGAGCATGGTGGGGAAGGGGCTGGGACTGTGTTCCACCACCAGGGGCTACGCACCCACAAAGTCTGGCATCCCCATGGGGGGATGGTGGGGGAGAGGTGAAGAAGGAGGGCGGAGCCAGGAGGCAAACGGAGGATGTCCTTGTCCTCATCACACCAGGCCTAGCCACAAAGCGTAGGGCCAGATGCATGAGTGCAGCAGCCTTGTGCAGCAGGGCTCTAGCCAGGCGGCTTGAGGCCCCACTGCCCCTGTCCATGTCTCTGCTCTCTGCAGAGCTTCTCCACGTGGTGGCCAAGGGAGCCGTGCTCCAGAGGGAGCCATGCGTTGGAGCACGGCAGCCCACAGCCTGGCCACAAGGCCAGGGAAAAGTGCTCCTGGGTGAGGGCAGTGCTGTGGGGGGAGGTTGCTCAGGTGGGCTTCTACTCCCATGCCCCAGTGTCACGGCTAGGCCGAGCTGTGCTACCAGCCCTACCTCCAGCTGTGCTGAGTTGGAAGCCAGGCCGCTGCTGCGGTTAGTGTAGACCTCAGCCATAGTCCTTGTCCCTGTTGTGGCTTGAGGGGTCCCGCTGGAGGCTGCACTGCCAGTGGCTGACCTGCAATGGGGAAGGGCCAGCCCCCCCCACCCGTGTCCTGTTCCCTGGCCCCTTCTCAAGGTGCATGTGTAGCCCCTGCCAGCAATGAGCCTCCCCGCTGCCTGCTGTGAGCGGTCTGGGGTCTGTAGTGGGCAGTAGGGGCCGGCCCAGAGCCCAGGCGGTTTGTAGCAGTTTGGTGCCATAACAAGGATTGGGCCCCTTGCTGTTCCCCCATTATCTGCCCCTGGCACCTCAACATCTTCCAAATTGAAGTTGTGGGTTTTTTGGGCACTCAGCCCCAAAGCATTGCCAACCTCTGCCCTATACAGTGTAAGAACCTGGACTGTCAGTGCTCTGCTGTGTTGCCTTTCCAGCAGATATAATGCTAGGTAAAGTCCTCCTCCACCCAGCAGCCCCTATAATTTTGATGTTTCATTTACTTGTTAAAAAAGCCTCATGAATCTCCTCCTATTTTGTGATTTAACAAACAAAATATTAAACACTGAAAAAAGAAAGCTTTTGCTATCTTAAATTGATCATTCAAAAGTAGTAGACATTTTTTATTTCAATTAATTTATTCCTTTTTTTTCTCTCTTATTTTAAAATATGGACAATCTCACCTCACAGGATGTATACAGTGATCAGTCTATTAACATTTGTGAGCGCTCATACTATGGTAATGATTACCATAGAAGAGTTCAGGAGGAATTAATAATTCTGTATACAGAGTAGGGTCAGATAGCGAGCCCTACATCAAGTGCTGAGCATAAAATGACCCACTGAATAGTTACTCACTCCAGGAGCGTTATTAATCCTGTGCACTGAATAAGGTAAAGGTCTTGTAGAAGTATGTGATCTTGTAACTAAATGCATGTGAAAAGCGGGGAGGGGAGAAGGTGAATTAAAAAGATAAAAAGGACTGATGGAAGGTAAGGGGGCAGACAGAATAATCAAATAAATACTATTCATATCTACAATTTATATGTATATATAATTTTACCTTGCATAAAGTTGTTATTGCATAACAAAATGTTTTCTCATCTGCCCCTTTGATATTTAACTACTGATATTTAGCCAATTAGATATCCAGATGGGGTGGGTGATCTGTTTGCTGTTTCTCAACAGATTGTCTCTTGTCACCCAAAGCATACAATTTAATGAAAGTTACTGGTGAATATCAAGTGAAGACTATTATGATTTTTACTGTTTGTTAAGTGTACTCACAGCCTTTAATATACCCGATTATTTTAAAATATTATTGCATTCCAAGCTTCTTCTGTCACATTTTCTTTTTGCATTTAGATTTCTTTTATTCCTTTTTCTGCAACTAATTCTTTTATTTTCCTTTTGTGTATTTGATGTGTATCTCTTACTAAGACGTATTTTATTTCTGTGTTTATAATTTGTTAAATGTTGCTAAATGGACTTGAAGATTTCTCGCCTTTCTGGTAGGGCTGGAGATTCCTGTTCTCTGTTGGTTTTCCTTTTTCTGTACTCCACGTTTGCTTTTAGTTTAGATTTTATATTACAACAGCACCTGTTGCCATCACGAGAGCTGATCATGTTGTCAATAGATAATGGAGTCTTCTTCTTGATCTTGGATTATTGTAATTTGAGAGCCTGGAGCTGTGAGAACACCACCCATTAGGAGTTACCAACATGCCTCATCCTAGTTTGAAAAACCACACCGGTGACTTGTGCAGTGCTCGCTGCCACCCTAAGACTTCATGGCACAGCTGGCAGAGGACTCTGGTTTGTAACTAACTGCCTCAGTTCTACATAAATAATGAATGCAACACTGTACTGTCTAGACAGCTTATAGTGTATTAGCTCCAGGTTCATTTATAGTGCGTGACAAACAAAACCACCCTCCCCCGCAAAAGACAAACAGCGAGACTATTGTATTGTCCAGACTGGTGGTTCTCAACCTATCTAGATGTGGGGCACCCCTTGAAAATCCTAGCTTTGTTTTCACTTGTTTTTTGACTACAGAAACACACTAGACAGGGACGGGCAGGACCAGGACCAGATCCAGCCCACAGCCCCATACCTCCTGGCCTGCAGGGCTCCCCACGGGTCTAGAAAGTTGGTGTTGGGGAACAAAGCCACTTCTCCTCCACCCACCGCCACCGCCACCTTTCTGGACTAGGAGTCCCGGATTGGGCCGGGCCTAGGGTTGGGGCTGGGGCGGGGCCACTTCACGGCCCCGCTGAGGAGAGCGCAGGGCAGGCGCCTCCCGCCCCCCCGGTGGCGCGCGGCGGCCGTTACGGACGGTTGCGGGCGTCGCCCCTTCCCCCCAGCAGAGCGCGCGGCGGCCGCCGGGGGGGGGCTCGTCCCCTCCCCGGGTCCTGCTCATCTGTCCGCCCTGGAGGCGGCGAGGCCGCTGCCCTTCCGCTGCTCAAACCGGCTTTTCTTCTGCAGCCTGGCCCCGGCGGCCCTTGTGGCGCCCTCCGCTCTTGGGCACCCGGCCCAGCGCCCTGGCCCGGGAAGGGCAGACACTGAAGCGGGGTGCTCAGGAAGGCGCATGGTTGTTTGTTGAATATGAACAAGTGATTTACATTTCACTGTAATGACCACAGGGCTAATGACACCATAGCTTTTAACTTTTGTTGGGGTTTTTTTTGCCTGGTGCCTTGTACTTTTTAATGCTGCACAGTCAATGGGGGGATGTTTCAATCCGCATGTTCGTTTTTGCGTTGATCCTAATCATGTAGGGCTAGCTCCCTACCATGTTGGTTAACCAGCTGGTTTTGCTTTAGCTGGAGTGGAGAAAAGTGTTGTGTTATAGGCAATGATGATTTGCCACTCCATCTCTCTCCACTTCAAAATCCTAGGTCTGCCCATGAGTGCTGTATCTGCACCAACTGCAGATGCTTCCTCAGCCTGATGAAAGCTTGCTAAGATTTTTTTCCAACTGTTTTGAGTTGGTCTAAGAAAAGATACCAGATTTACCCAAAGGATCTTATCTGCTTTATTAGAGTGGTATTCGCATGTGGTCCCGAGGAGTTCCTGTTTGCTGGGCCTTGCCGTGTCAGGCCCTGTGCAGACACAGCAAGGATCGGTTCTACCTTTGTTACAAGCAAGAAGGTCATGGGCTGCCCTTCCTGTTGGGACTAGAAGTTGTGATGCTTTCTGGAGCCTTGTTCATAGCCCCGCTTTGGGTGGGTTGTAACATCTGGCTTGAAAAGCTCTTCTGTTAGGTTTCTGCATATCAAATAAAAACACTTAGATGCTTACCCCACTGTATCTTCATTACCTTTTCAGTTCTCCACCAGATATCACCAGAGAAGCTGCTGAAAGACTTAAGAGACTCTCCTAATACAGGTACTGCCCTGAGGGGGGTGGGGCATAGATGGCCTACCCTTGCCCAGATATATTTGTTCAGTCTGTGCTGTAGGTCAATTATTGCCAATATAACGTATTAACTATGCAGGAAAAACCAAGGAATTGGCTGAGATGGAATAAGGAAACATGGATATGTTTGGTTTTTATGAACCCAGATAGAAGAGGTAAAGAGAATTAATTTGGGTAGTTGAAGGTAGTATATTACTTTGGTCAGAAGATGGAAAAGTTGAAAGAAACGGAATAGCTGAGAAGATAAATGTACAGACAAAGGAACGGGTGACAGAAGTACCATGCATTTCTGACAGAACATGGATAAGTATGATGGCTGGAAAAGAAATGTTCACAAAAGTACAAGTATAGTCTACAGACTGGTTGTAGCATTGAAAAAATAGTTTGAGAATGACGATAGTGGTGTGGGAATTATGACTGCAGTGCACATAGTATAGATAGATCAGGTTATGAAGATATTTTGTAAGTAGAAAGGATTGTAAGGAGAAAGAAATAGAAATGAAGATAGAGAGCAATTACTGGGCCTTTGTTAAAGAAGCAGGTTTAGAATTGGCAATATCTGGTTTCAAACTAGAAAGACCCCTTTAGTAACATGGTATAGCTGGGATGGAAGAAATAGGTCCAGGATTGATTACATAATTACAGATAAGGATTAGATAAAACTCCTGAAAAATGTGAAGGTTAATAACATCGTCACTATTGGTCCCCTGGATTGAGAGCTGATGTAGCCAAGGCACCTAAGGCTAAGCAATCTAACAGTCTCAGGTTGAAAAGATAATTAAAATATCTATCAGTGTGAGGAGAGCATAGTCTGGCACAAAAATGTTGGACTGTATTCTGTGCAGTGGCACCAACCATCTTGCAGCAGATGTGTGGTTTGTAGCTTTTGTTGTTGCTTTTCTTAAACCTTATGCTTTTCTTGCCAGTCAACATTGGGTTGCTAGTCCAAAAGGTCCCTCTTTGACTTTTGCATGCCATTGCTGTCTATCTGTAGCTAATGATTCCTGGCAATCTAAACTGTTGGTGTCTTTCTCTAAAGAAGGTAGAGCATATTCTGCAAAACCCATTTTTTGGCCAGCCTCACTTTTGCTGACTGCATTCCAGGTCTGTGTACTGTGGCTGCTAGGGCTTGCATTTGTTACTTGTGTGCATTATGTGATCAGTTGTTCATTATCAGTGTTCCAGTGTTGTAGTAACTGACTTGTCACAATACCTTAGCACTGGATACTCAGTCAAAGGATCTGAGCTTTGGAGGGGGAGAGGGAGGGAGGAGAAGGTGTTCAGGGCTCAAGAAAATTGGTGGACTTTTTTCCAGTTGCTAGAAGTATCACTGATGTGATGTCTCAGTTTGAGCTCATAGAAGAGTAAGCACCACAGTCTTGTAAACCTTACCCTTCTTCAGATATCTTTATTTCTTGTTGTCATCACACCCACTTGCTCAATTTGTCAATTGTTGCATTTACTTTCAGGTTGTGGGAAATAACTTCTTCATCAATACTACCTTAATTTGTCACTACACTGTCCACACAGTGGGATTCATGAGTTATAGGTAGTTGCTCTCCACCAAGTATACAAAACTCTTGTTGGTGCAACCAGATACAGGACCTCTGTCTTGGTTAAGCCAATTGTGAGCCTAAAGTTGTTTGCAGGTGCCATAAAGTGGCAAATCAATATCTACAAATTTGGTTTTGAGTGCATTTTTAATTCAGTCATATGTGTGGAGCACTTTATGGTGCAGTTGAATAATAACTTTTAGTCTTGCTTGCAGAATAGAACAGTGTTCTGAAGGTGAGGAATCTTAACAGCTGAAATGCTGCCAACTGCCTCCCCCATAAGTGCTATACAGAAAAATCAGTCCAAGCACACAATCTTGTTTCAACCCAGATAGGTCAGTGCAAGTCCTTACTCTGCCTCAAATTTCTTCATGGAGCTGATGCAGGTAAGTATTTGTCTTAACATCCCAGCAGGCATGGGTGACTGGTGCCTCCTGAGACTGGGGAGACACAGTTTGTGGGAGTTGGCGTCGAGGTGGCGAGTGGTGACTGCCTGCAGAAGCCAGGGCCCGGGGGGGTGGCGAACAGTAACTGTTTGCAGAAGCTGGCGGGGGGTGGGGGGAGCAAGTGGCAACTGCCTGCAAAAGCCGGCAGTGGCCAATCAGGGGGTGCGTGTGCCCCCCACCCCCGTGTTCCCCTTACTAGCAGGCTCTAGAGGTGAGGTTGCCTGACTTCATCAGAGGCTTTCTTATTGATGATGAAGGCCGTGTATAGCTGACAGCTCTATTATGGCATCTCTCTTGAATCTGTCATGCAACAAAAATATATGTTCACTGCCCCTTGCTCTAAAGCAGGAGTGTTAAACATACAGCCTGTAGGCTGTATCTGGCTCATAGCACCACTCTTATCTTGCCCCCCCCGGTCTGCTAGCATGGCTTATGGGAATAGTCTGCTGTAGAATGACGATTGGCAGTAGGATGGTGAGTGAGGGTTTATACAGCCTGGTTGCACACTGGCTGCTTAGCTGATTGTTACTACCATGACTATACTTCTCAGGCCACTGGCCCCCACTGTGTGCCCTGTTCAGGAGCCTCTTGTTACATAGCATCTTTTAGATGACAGTGTTATTTGCACTGAAGTAGTCCTGGTGGTTCTGAGTTACAGATCCAATGGCTTGCTCAGTGTCATGATGCACAAGATCCTGGATGTTATGGCATATTGGATTAGGAGGTAAGAACCTGATATTGTATTTTCTTACCTATAATATGTCCTCAAATAAGACGCGTACCTTGTTTTTTAGAAGGCGGAATATAGGAAAAAGATTTTGCTAAAGTTGTGGCCAGCTGTGTAGTAATAGAGTAAGTCCTATATGCCACACAAGGAGGTTCCTATTGTCTGCTGCGTCACCCAGGAATGTCACACTTCTGGAAACTCAATGTTCCCCAGAGGACTTACTCCATGTCATGCAAGATTAGGATCTAGACCCTTGCAAAGACAGTAGCAAGACTGTTAGTTCTTTACTGTAAGTAGTAAAGTTAGTTCTTGATCAAGTGCATATAAAGTGGTGTTTCCAAGTCACGGGCCTCATCAAGATGATACCAGTAGCTTGCTGGCTGCTTCAGGTACAAGCTGCAATGCTTAACCAGTAGCTGTGGCTGTGAGAGGGTTAATAAAGGGTTGCACCTTGTCTCAGAGCACCGAGGTGCCCTACTCCTAAAGAGGAGAAACTGCTAGAGAAAGAGCCCTAGCAGTGAATAAGGAGCCCAGCTGGTGGTTGCCAGGGCAACTGGAGTCAGCAAACGACCCACACCTGCCAGTGGTCAGCTGACTGTAAGGGGCAGGGCTTGGCTCTTATAAAGCCCAGGAGCTGAGGCCAGGGAGTTCCCTGTCAGCAGCCAGAGAGAGAGCAGCTCCTGGAGCAAAGATGCGAGAACCGCAGGTACCACTCAAGCAGAATAAAGGATGGCAGCTCTAAGATGTCTGAGCAACATGGGTTTAGCCAGGCGGCTTTAAGTTACGTTATAGCCTAGGGGCTTGTGTTTTGTTTTGTTGTTACACCGGTGGTTTGGGTGAGGCTATTAGGGGTTGGAGGAGGCCTCATAGGGGACCCACAGTAGCGTGGGGACCCCAGTGCCAGTAAGGGTGTGGCATATGGGGTGCATAGACCCCAGCCCCAGAGAGGGGGCACTGTTGAGAAGCCCCAGTGCAGGTGTGCTGAGAAGGCCCCAGAGAAGGGGGCAGCAGTGCTGAGAAGGCCCCAGAGAAGGGGGCAGCATCTATTCCAGCTGCGAGGCTTGGGGCGTGGTATAAGGGGAGGTGGGAGCCACGCATAGCCCATAAGGCTAGGGTGCCCCAAAGCACCCATCTGCAGGACAAGACTGATGAGGGGCCCAGGAGTCCACGGGGCCAGAGGTTACAACGAACCATGTCCAGGAAGACGTAAGGCAGCCTCCCTAACTTATCTAAACATCAAAGACGTGGCGGGCGAGAATTGGAGGGTGCCCTTGGGCCGACTTGGCACGGAGGAAGGGGCCTTAAGGAGATCATGGCCCTCCTGTAGGACCCTGCTGTGACACATCCCTTGCAAGCAGAAACCATCTTGGTAGGTGCATAGCATGCATGTTGTCTCCAGGTATGCTTCTTTTTAAGTGAAGAAAACAGGTTCCTTGCTTAATGCCTGCACCCCAGTTTTGGGGCTTATTTTTGTGGGGAGGAAAAGGTTTGTGCTATATGTGAGAAAATATAGCAATACAAACAGCATGCAAGAGCCAGAGAAAGCAGAGAGGTCAGTTTTGGCATAACTCTGCACAGACTTGTTAACATTTCAACTGATTCATATTCCTACGTCATGGAAACTTAACTGTTACAGTGCTGCATTTCAGCTGAATTTTCGAATTTAGCTTTGAAGTAATCATTTAGATAATTAATCCACCACTTCTGTGACTTGAGCAACCCAGACATCCTTAAGGTCTTTCTTTGGCACAGTAAAATGGTAAGTTAGGTACTACTATTGGAATTTTGGGTGCATCCAGTGGTGTAACTAGAGTGTGGCAAAAGGGGTAACTGCCCTGGGTACCCGTGGGAATGCGGGTACAGAAAAACTGGCTTCTAGTGCAGCTGTGCGATCACAGTGGCACCAGCAACCAGAAGTTGCTGCTGTTCCTATATGTGGTAGCCACCCTGGGTGTCCATCTGTATTCTTACACTGCTGGATAATTTCATAGTTTCATAGTAGGTAGGGTTGGAAGGGACCTGAGCAGATCATCAAGTCCGACCCCCTGCCATGGCAGTAAAGAGTACTGGGGTCAAACGACCCCGGCAAGGTGTTCATCCAGCCTCCTTTTAAAGACTCTCGGGGTAGGACCCAGCATCACTTCTGGAACCAACTTCCAAGAAATCCTATCTGCCCTGACTGTGAAGTAGTGCCTCCTGATGTCTAGCCTGAATCTACCTTCTGCCAGCTTGTGACTGTTATTT